CTCATATTCCTCTGCACACACTTTTTTTCCAGCTTTACCTTGTTTCTTTTTTCCTCTACTCGTCTTTTCATCCATACTATTAAGGGATGGTGGCCCGAATCAACGCAATCTCCTATCTCCATTCTTTCTATCTCCTCTTCCACTTCTCTCTTCACCAGTACATAATCTATCACAGATTCTCCTCTTTCTCTTGTGTAAGTCTATTCCCCTCTCTCATCTCCTTCTATACTCCCGTTTAGAATAAACCATCCTCTCTCTCTTATGTAGTCAACCAGAAGTTTACGTTTCCACTTTCTGTCCTTAGATTTTCTTCCTATCTCCTCAACTTCTTCCGCAACTACTGTCACTTTCTCTCCATCTCTTTCCGTTCTCGCGTTGAAATTCCCTCCTATTATCGTCTTAGCACCCCACTTCTCTGCCTCCGTCCATTCTTTCAACTCTTCTAGCTTCTCTTCCATGTCCCCGTTCACGTACATCCCTATCACTCTTAGTATGTTCTTATTGTAATTTATTCTCCCCGACATAATCCCTTCCACTTCCTGTCTGTTAACTTTTTCTTGTGCTATTATCTTTTTTCTTATTCTCATAAACATACCACCCACTGCTCTTCCCTTTCTGTTTCTCCTTTTTGCTATCTGTGCTTTCCATACATACCCCCTACATACCGCATACATACTCCCATGGTAATTCGTTTTACTACTTTACTATATATTTCCCAACTTTTCTCTTTCAATCAGGTTTCGATCATTAATACTACGTCCCAGCCTTCTATTCTTTTTCAAAAATCCTTATCTTTAGTCTTAAGTCCCGCAACATTCCAGAAAACTATTTTTAGATTTGCCTCCCACTTTAGCTGATTATCCTTTTCCCCCTGGTTTTGTTCCTTGCTCTTTTTGTCTGTCTCCCTTATTCCTTCTTCTCTTATTTTTATCTGTCCTTCATTCCTTCCAATCTCTCCCTCTACCAACACTTCCTCCCTATCTTCGTCCCAACTCCAACATATCCCTTTAATTCATATCTTATTTTGTCCTAGAATGTCCTTTTCTTTCTATCACCTTCTCTTTCGCTGCTATCTGTCCAAGCTGCTACCTCATTTTTCTTTCCTTTAGGTTCTCCTCCACCCATATCTCTTTCCCCTTCAGTATCCATGTTTGTTACTCATAATCTTTCTCTTTTCTTTCTCGTTTCCCACACCGCTATTACCACGTCTCTCTTTTCTTCCTTCTCCGTCTCTATCTTTCTCACACTTTATCTTGGCTACTACCCTTATTTAATTTCATATCTTCTGTATATCTTTCTCTAAGCCTCCCTCTTCTCTTCCTATGCCTTTTATTAGGATATTTTATTTCCTCTCTTCTCTCTCCCTCCTTTCGTTTCTTCTTTCTAGTATCCTTTGTCTCTCCTCCCACATCTCTCCTTCTTCCCTGTTTCCTATTCTTCTCTCCTTCTCCTCTCCCCCTTCCCCTTCTTCACCTCTGTCACCTTCCTTTCTCCTCATCTTCATCCCCTTTAGATTTTCCTCTAATTTCTCTATCCTAATCTTCAATTCTTCCTTCTCCTTTTCCCATTTCTCCTCTCATTTTTAACATATCCTTAATTCTATCTATTTCTTCTTTTATTGCCTCCTTCTGTACTACTGCACCCTCTCTTATTTCTTCTCTTACTCCCCAGAGTCCCTCTCTTAACTCCTCCCTAAATTCTTTAAATATATCTCTAAATGCCCCTTTCTCTCTTCTTTCTGTCGGCGATCTCCCTACTTTTCTGCTTTTCCTAAATATCTCCTTTTCCCTGTTCATCCCTGCCTCCTCTGCCAACGCATCTCTTTTCCTCTTCAGATACTCGTCTCTATCTCCTGTGCTCCCCACACTCTCGCGTCTTTCCTTGTTTATTTCTATCACTCTGCTCGCCATCTATTATCTGCCTACTTTATGTCTCGCAAATCCCTTCCTAGTACCTGTCTATAATGAACACGCTCTCTATCTCCGCGGTGCGACACCTGTCCCAGTAACTGTGTCATTCTCTCTCCCCCTTTCCTCTTCTCCTTTCTCCCTAGCCTCAAATCCTTGCTCCCTTCTTATGCTCGCTCTGACCTTTAACCCTTTGTATTCGTGGAAAAACACTAGGTATGTTAAAATAGTGAGCGATAAATGTTAATCCCACTACGCCTATCTAATGTCTTGTTAAAAATATTAATAAATAAATCTATTTATTATATCACTTCCTGACATATGCATTTCGTATATAGCAACTAAACCAAGTTTTTCACCAGGAAAAGAATGTTTATTAAAAATGACGACTCACCTTTTTCGTCTGACGAACTCGCGTCAGCGTTTCCTCGATGTGCAAGTAAATCTCTTTGAACACGGATACCAGAATCCGTCACGACGATCTCACTCCTTACTTCGTACTCTGCTACAACTTGAGGCAAACGAAGCCAGATGCTCGGATCTATTATTATCCAAATCGCGTAGCGCGAAATGAAATTACGAGTCAATTCCCTGCGAAAATGTTCGATTAAAACCGATTATAAAAAAAGTTATCTGAATCGATCGGGATTTCTGCACCGAAAATACGGTATCAAAAAGGATTAAAATCATTCAAATCGGATATAAATC